GTGTTTGCAGCTTGGGGTGCTCCTTGACTCATCGCTCCTGATGACAAATCAAGTAAATGCGACAGTCAGGAGCGCCTGTTATCAGCTTTGGCTCATTCGCCAGCTGCATCCTTTTGTGGAAGTAAGGGACCTCAAGACTGTTGTTCACGCACTGGTAACCTCACTTCTAGATTTCTGTAATTTCTGTATGGCAGCAAGATTAGTATCAGGTACATTTAGGAAGGACCGTATTACTCCAGTACTAAGGTCCCTCCATTGGCTGCCTATCAGCTTCTGGGCCCAGTACAAGGTGTTGGTTATCACCTTTAAAGCCCTAAATGGCTTGGGTCCAAACTATCTCATGGACCGCCTCCTCCCATATAACCCTCCCCGCGTTCTCTGGTCCTCTGGGAGGAATTTTCTACAACCTCAAAAATCTAGGCTTTCGGCTACCTCCCAGAGGGCTTTTTCTGTTGTCGTCCCCAAATTGTGGAATGGCCTGCTGGATGAGATCCATCAACTGACAGCTTTAGACAGCTTTAAAAAAGCGATCAAGACAGATCTCTTTCGGCAGGCCTTTCCAGGATAGAAAAATCCCGGCCTCAGGCACTTTCTCAGGCCCCTACTTTCCCCCTCTTTTCCTTTCTTTAAGGGAACTCTATCCACCTCCCTGAAAGCCATCTGTTACATTTCCGCAGTCCTCTGTTTTGCTGCATAATTGTGATTGGTGTTTTAATGTTGTTTTAATTTTAATTATTTTAATTTGTAATAGATTTAATAACTTTTTAAGGGGTGGGTGGGATGTAATTTGTTTTTACTGTTGTATTGTATTTTGAGCCTCCTCGATTGATCCCAAAGGAGCGGGGTATAAAATCATTTTATTATTGTTATTATTATTATTAATAATATTAATATTAATATTAATATTGCATTCCAAACTAGAATTGTTTTGTTAAAGTCGGTTCAAGTTGCTGCAGACTAGGATGGCATCCAGAATAAAATTTGAAGAACCTTCTTGGAAGCCCCAGGATATATAGCAATAAAATATTTCTAGTTGGAAAGAGAATCATGGCCCTTGTTTAAGAAGATCTGTTTGTTTAATTTCTGGTTAAGACTGAAAGAAATGCCAGAAAATTACCTAGAAAAATTATTTGGATTTTTTTCTGAAACAACAGCCTTTCAGTTCCTGAAAAGAAAATCCTAGATAAAAAATATCACATTTTTCTTCACAAATTTGTCTTTTCATTAATCTACCCCCCCCCAAAAGAAATTACAGTAGGCCCTTGGTATTCATTGGGTTTTGATTCCAGGACCCCCTCATGGATACCAAAAGCTGTGGCTGCTCAAGTTTCATAATATACAATGGCATAGTAAAATGGTTACATAAAATGGAAAAAAAAAAACAAGGTTTGTTTTTTTATTAATTTTACAGAATGTTTTCAAGCCATGGATGGTGGAATCCATGGATCTAGAATCCATGGCCATGAAGGGCCAACTGTATAGCAGGTGTCATACACCCAGGTGGTTCAGGCTGCCTCTGCTGCCAAATAATAAGCAACAGGGGGAGAATCCAGAAGGAGACAAAGAGAAAAGACACTGAACAAGATGAAGAAGATGGGGAGAGTGAGAGGGACAGATGGGTGAGCAAGGGAAAGGTGGTCATAGAAAGTGTGAATGAGGAGTGTAGAGAAGGAAGTTGGAAGGCAGACATGGACAGAGACAGGGAAAGACGAAGGGAAACCAGGAATGTAGAAGGACAGAAGCAGAGAGGGTGCAAGGCAGATGAATGCAAAGAGAGATGAAGGGATAGAATAGAGAAGAAATATTGTGGTGATGCCGTGAGAAGAATGCAGGAGAAAGCCAGAGCCAGAGTCAAAGAATGGAAGGGGAGAAGGACAGAGATAAGGGGATGCAGGGGTTGATGAGGGGAAGAGTAAGAAGAGTAGGAGCTCTTAGAAGGAAGGGAGTAGGAAGGCCTTGTGGAAGGGGATACAGAAGGAATGAGAAGTTCAAGTGGGAAGAAATAGAGAAGCCAGGAGTAAAGAGGAGTTAAAAAGAGATTTATAGGGCTGGGCTGATAGGATTTGATGCCTTCAGGTGTTGCTGTTGTTTAATATTGGCTGAGTTGGAAGAAGACCCTATGTCCCGAGCAAAGGCTGACAGGTTAAGTCTTAGAGTAGCAAATTCACCCATGGTCCCTAGATTGTGTGTTTGTTTTCTCTTTTGCAGGTGTACTATTGAAGTTACCAGGGGTAACCAGAGACAACCTGGGTAACTGATGGTGTGACTTTAAGACAACCAAAGAATAAAGCTAACTGTGGAACTTAACACTCAAATAGTCTGAATTTGGTAAATCTCATGGATCACCAAAGGAGGTAGGGCCCATGTCCTACATCAGGAGAAGACAGAGCCACACCAGCAAAGAAAGAGTACAAGTTATGTACTAATGAAATGTTATTTCACTGAGACTCTGTATCCCTTATTTCAGTTCAATTATACCCCCATGGCATAATTTACTCAGAACCTTTCCATCGTCCAGTAGTCACCTACTCAAAATGACAGATTTTGCTTAAGAAGAAAGCGAATGTTAACAGTTCCAGTTAATGTTTTTCACAGTTTTGGATGGATGGCTAGCTAAGTTCCCTTATCATTTACACTACTGTCACTCTGGCTGCACAAGACTGAAGACCTCTCCCACTATTTGCTTAGTTGTCTTTTGTCAAAGGGAATTAGAAAAAAATATCTAGTGGGGTTGCTATCTATTAAAGACTTGAAGGTACACAACAATAAAGAGCCTTGGCCCTTGGATGGGATGCAATCCTTTTGCCAATCCTTACCCATAATCCTTAATCATGACATAATGCTGCTTTGCAGCACTGTGGGAATTCAAAATAGCTGCATCACTTGTAGCCCTATGACTTTAATTTTCAAGACTGTCTCAAACTTAGAACTTGCAAATATTTCTCTTTGGGACTGCAACTAGAGTTTTCCAGTCAGCACACCCAGCATCTTTGGAAGCAATTATCCCAACAAGTAACTTTTCCATGGGGCTGCCCACATGGCCCCAAAAGCCCATCCCCTCCCCCACACCTCACCTTGTCTGGACAACACAGGCCAAAATCTTGGGACCAGGATTGGGATTGATTCTGGCAGACTGGATACAGATCAAGTTGATCTAGCCCTATCTCAGGGTAAATGTCCTTAACCACATGGCAAACCTTGGCTATTTTAATGTCTTCCATGTACTCCTTATCTTTTTGTGTCATTGGTCCTATGGAATGCTCCCCATTGCTGCTTCTGATGTGGAAACAGTGCACTTGGTCATGTGGATGTATACAGGTGCCATATTTCTACAGCAGATGCAGTAATGGAGATGTTCTCAGTAGGAGCTATGGTACAGAAAGGTACAGCACATGCCAGTAGAGGGTCCCTGGGCCAGTGTAGAGGCAGTATAAATACCTGCCTGTCCCCATGCCAGCCCAAGAACCAATCCAGGTGAGCACCCAGGCCAGAATATCAGGGGCTCAGCCTGTGCTTTCCTGGCCCATCAGCTCAGGCCCCAAGTTGACTTCAAGCTAATTCTAAATTGGGGACATAGGGGCTAAGATTTATGTCCATAATTCTTCACATGTGGAATTATTGGTTGGCTCTGCTGTGCAACCCATATGTCCAAAGACACCACTGTGCAACTAAACAAACAACTGGAGGAATACTATTGTCAAATTCTGCAGGGACAGATGGGTAGGCATTAGCTGAGAATTTGCATTTGCAAATCAAATCAAATCAAATCAAAGCAAATCAAATCAAAGCAAAGCAAAGCAAAGCAAAGCAAAGCAGCTTCATTTATATACCACTTCATATCATGCTATGGGATGTTTAAGAGCTTTACAACTGCAATCTCATTGCCCCCCAACAGCTGGATACTCATTTTAGCGACCTCAGAAGGATGCAGGCCTGAGTCAAGCCTGAGCCCTGGCTAGTATTGAACTCTCAACCTTGTGGTCTATGAGTGAGTGGCTGCAGTACAGGCATTTAACCACTGTGCCACCAGGGCTCTTCCATTGCACCACCAGGACTCTTGCATGCATTGCGCCACCAGGGCTCTTGCATGCAAGACAGCATCATATCTGGATTTCCACTTCTGTGACCCTGAAGTGAATATATGTTTTAGTTTTGATGAAAATGTCCAGCCATTTCCATAAAGAAAGCTACATATGGGATCCCCAATAGGGGTCTGTTTTGGGAGTCATTAAAATGGGGGATTGATAAAAATAACCTAGCAGTGATCACGACACTCACCAGGGTATGAAGGTTGCTTCTAGAGTGCATTTTGCTGAGCTCCCACTCAGATGTGAAACTAGCCCTTTTCCTGCTCTTACAAAAATATCAATGCTTTGCAGTCCAGCATGCATAGTGTGGTTCTGAATAACAGCTATGTTATTATAAGCATAAGTCTGCAATGGTTGCAACTTGGAAAGAGGTACTGGATGTTTTCCCAGATTGAGTTGAGCTGTATCCAGTACAATGTTTATAGCCAAAACTATACAGCAATTTTAATAAGCTAACTACCAGCAGCTTAATGAAAAGCTTCTGCTGTGTGAGATAGGAGTTATTCCAGGAACGTTCTTCTTAGATTGATATAAACTTCCACACATTAAAGCACTTCTTTTGGTTTGCAACATTAAGCTAATGAACACTGCCATTTTGGAATAGAGGAATACAAATTTGTAATATTACTGGAATTCAAATTTCAGGGTAGTGCAGTTCCTTACTTTTAGGTTTTCTAAAAATATATATTTTGCTCTCTCTCTCACTCTCGCACTCTGTCTTTATATGTGTGTGTGTGTGAGTGTGATCTCCCAGGCTGTCTTTCAAGCTGTTACCAACAACCTCCCATTTTGTCATTGTTGTGTGCCTTCAAGTCATTTCCAACTTATGAAGGCTTTCATAGGGTTTGGAGGTTTGCCATTGCTTTTTGGCTGAGAGCATGTAACTTGACCAAGGTCACCCAGTGAATTTGATGGCTGAGTTGGGAATTAAACCCTGGTCTCCAGAGTCATAGTCTAACACTGAAACCACTATGCCACATTGGCTCTCTGAACAATCTCCCTACCTCCTATCTCCCTACTTCCTAGTTTTTCCAAGGCTGTTATAGAATGCACAATTCATCATCACTTTTTATTAGAAATAATCAATAGATCCCACCAAACACATATAAGAACATAGCAAGTGCATGACTCAAAACCAAAGGATAGATTCAGTTCCTTACCAAATGATAGAGGAGAGAGGTGATCAGAGCTTAGAAATACAGATTGATTCTCCATTATCCAGAATGCTTGGAACCAGAAGTGTTTTGGATTTCAGTTTTTTAAATTTTGGAATATTTGTATATACATAGTGAAACAGCTTAGAAATGGGACCAAAGTCTAAACATGAAATTCATGTATGTTTCATATACACCTTATACATACAATCTGAAGATAATTTTATATACAACATTAGTAATAATTTTGTGCATGAAACAGTTTGTGCACATTGAACCACCAGAAAGTAAAGGTGTCACTATTTCAGTCACCCATGTGGACAATTTTGGATTTTGAAATATTTTGTATTTTGGAATTCTGGATAAGGAAGACTTAATCTGCATTGATATTAGCAAAGGGGTTGAAGAATACATGGTAATTTTCTTATTTTGAGTGACAAAGAGTGTCTTGACACATGGAGACACAATGACAAATAGTCAACTGCTGCAAAATTTTTCACATTTTGCACAATTCTGCATAAAAGTGGTAGTAGTATACAAAACAAATACATGTTATACAAAAGCTTGGTTTTCTGTGCCAAAACTTTATTGTGCAAAAGACTCTGGGTTTTCCCAGAAATGAATTTCTTACAAAAGTCCTAAAAGGTCAAAAATTAACCCTTCATAATTTCACCTAGTGGGAAGAAAGCTTTTGAAAATCAGTGTCCTGCATGTGAGAAAGGAATAAAGAGTATTTGGTGCTGATTGAAAAACAGTGAATTCAAGGGTCTTAAACAAAATTAGTTAGCTTATTAGTCCATTATTAGTCTATTCAATTGTTGATAAACTTTTAAAATACATGTTGTAATGTCAACA